CCGTTCGTACCCACTACGCTCATCTGCCCCTGTCAAATCACTGGCGCGATTTTTCGTCAGATCGTGGCCAGCCGGACGTGACGCGAGACTGAGACACCAGCCGCGATCCTGGCACGGGCATCGGCCCGACGCTGGCCCAGTACCGAGCGCAGGGACGGCCGAAGGCGAGGCACAGACAAAACACCGAACGCGGAGAACAGCCGGGGGCGAGGGAGGCACAGACACAACACCGAACGCGGAGAACAGCCGGAGGGGAGGCACAGAGACGACCACACCGAACGGGGAGAACAGCCGGGGGCGAGGCACAGACACAACACCGAACACGGAGAACAGCCGAAGGGGAGGCGCAGAGAGCGACCACACCGAACGCGGAGAACAGCCGAAGAGGGAGGCGCGGACAAAACACATAGCGGGGAGAACAGCCGGAGGGGGAGGCGCAGACACAACACCGAACGGGGAGAGAACAACCGGAAGAGGAGGCGCACACACGACCACAGCGAACGGAAAGCGGGGGGGGGGGGGGGGTGCATCTGGGAGGCCACGGACGAGCATTCACGGGACGCATGTCTGAAACACCCCACCTGGGCATTTCACTGCGTCTCCGATGGCGTACAGCGCGACATCGGTCATAAGTGCCGGCAAGACACGACTGATGTCAGGACAGACAGTCGGACGGAACCTTCAGCCACTGAGCGGGGAAAGCTGACATGCACAATGATTAGCATAGAGATGGCAGCCGGCACTTACCGGGATCGGTGGCATCATGGAGATCCTGCAACAAAGATTTCATTCAGTTACATCTGGCATTGAACTATCACAAGCACATAAAAAATTCACACACAATTATGTCATGATTTTCATCACTCCAAAAACGTCAAAGACGCACAGCCACTTCAGTTTAAAAACATCAAAGGTGCACGATCACTTTCGAAAGATGTCAGCATTTTTATATCTACTTTTTCATCTTCAACCGATGTAGCACTTGCAGCACGCTGCACGCCCCCAACACTGCACACCACATGCTGTCTCCATCCCAACATGCCTCCCAGACCGTAGCCCAAAGCCAAATACGTGTGAGCTGCACTTCTGCCCTGTATCTGCTACATATAACCATGCATCACTCATTCACTTGACCAACTTTACAACCCTGTTATTGTTACATTGTGAGGACGATGCATGGGCATTAGCGTGCTCGCTGAGGCCCGGTGTTCCAAATAGCCCAGAGCCGGCGTGCGCACGGAGCCAGAGGGCCGGGGTGGGACCGATGCCGGGACCGCAGTGATGATGATGATGATTTGGGGGTTTTAGGGCACATCGACTGCTATAGGTCATGCAGCGCCCATCCGGGACCGGAGTGAGATCCGCAGGGGCGCAGGGCTGGGATCGGTGCCGGGCCGGGCTGGGATCGGTTGCCGGGCCGGGATGGGATCGGCGCCAGGGCCGGGGCTGGGATCGGTGCCGGGGCCGGGGTTGGGACCGGTGCCGGGGCCGGGGTGGAATCGGTGCCGGGGCCGGATGGGATCGGTGTCGGGGCCGGGATGGGATCGGTGCCAGGGCCGGGGTGGGATCGGTGCGGGGCCGGGATGGGATCGGTGTCGGGGCCGGGGTGGGATCGGTGCCGGGGCTGGGACATCGGTGCCGGGGCCGGGGTGGGATCGGTGCCGGGGCTGGGATCGGTGCCGGGGCCGGGGTGGAATCGGTGCCGGGCCGGGCTGGATCGAGTGTCGGGGGCCGGGATGGGATCGGTGTCGGGGACGGGATGGGATCGGTGCCGGGCCGGGCTGGGATCGGCGGTCGGGGCCGGGATGGGATCGGTGTCGGGACCGGGATGGGATCGGTGCCAGGGCCGGGGGTGGATCGGTTGCCGGGGCTGGGATCGGTGCCATGGGCCGGGGCGGGATCGGTGCCGGTTCCGGGATGGGATCGGCGCCAGGGCCGGGGTGGGGTAGGTGCCGGTGCCGGGGTGGGATCGGTGCCGGGGCTGGGATCGGTGCCGGGGCCGGGGTGGGATCGGTGGCCGGGGCTGGGATCGGTGCCGGAGCCGGGGTGGGATCGGTGCCGCGGCTGGGATCGGTGCCGGGGCCGGGATGGGATCGGTGCCAGGGCCGGGGTGGGATCGGTGCCGGGGCTGGGATCGGTGCCGGGGCCGGGGTGGGATCGGTGCCAGGGCCGGGGCGGGATCGGTGCCGGGGCTGGAATCGGTGCCGGGGCCGGGGTGGGATCGGTTGCCAGGGCCGGGATGGGATCGGTGCCGGGGCCGAGATGAAATCGGTGCCAGGGCCGGGATCGGTGTCATGGCCGGGGTGGGATCGGTGTCGGGGCCGGGGCGGAATCGGGGCCGGGGTGGGATCGGGCCCGGGCTGGGGTGGGATCCGGGCCGGGGGTGGGATCGGTGCCGGGGCTGGGATCGGTGCCGGGGCCGAGGTTGGATCGGTGCCGGGGGTGGGATCGGTACCGGGGGTGGGATCGGTGCCGGGGGTGGGATCGGTGCCGGGGCTGGGATCGGTGCCGGGGCTGGGATCGGTGCCGGGGCCGGGGATGGGACCGGGGCCGGGATGGGACCGGGGCCGGGGATAGGACCGGGGCCAGGGATGGGACCGGCGCCGGGGCCGGGGTGGGATCGGCGCCGGGGCCGAGATGGGATTGGTGCCGGGGCCGGGGTGGGATAACACTGACCGTAGGGTCGTCACCGTCTTCCGAGTCACCGTAGCTGTCCCCGGAGGCGACACAGGAACGGCGCGGCCGGGCCTGCCCCGCCGCCCGCCTGTAGACCACAGGTCAGTTGGGTCACACGCCGGGACCAGCCGTCAACAGTCAAAGGGAACCAGTAACCAGCACGGTCACGAGAGGACCAGCAGTCAGCAGTCCAGCACAGTCACGAGAGGACCAGCAGTCAGTAGTCACGATGCCAACAGCCAGTAATTTCAGAGGGACCTATGACCAGTCGGATCACCCGGGAACCATTGGTCAGCAAGGTCACGGGGGACCAGCGGTGAGCAGTCACAGGCCGAGGGAGGGGGGGGGGGGGGGGGGGGGGGGTTAGCAACCAGTGCCGTCACAGGAGGGCAACAGGTCAGGATGGGGAACAGTTCACAACTACTAGTATGAGAGTTAGGTCATGAGGGTCCTAGACAAATACCACAGGAATGAATGGTGCACCCCTCTGTCAGAACTGTGGTACCAACATCTTACATCGCTACATGATACAAGGCAGCGAGATGGTGTTACACTGGACACGCACATTTAAGTCAGGTCCTGCTTCGGCGTCAGAGGGCTGGCTGCTTTTCCTTGGAATCGTCTTTCTTGGTCTTCTGCACTTCAGTTTATCTGAAACAGTGGCATTATGATTACACTAACAATTGACGAAGGCATTATGAAAACGATTACACTCGTTATCACGAGAAAGCAAAATACAATTACTCTGGCATGGGAATGGCATGGGAAGAATCAGTCACCTGACTTATCTGGCCGTGGAGAGAAAAAATGCAGCTCTAAACATAACATCAGGGAGCTGCAGGGAATCTCCCTTACACCGACACCAGCCTGCTAGGTCCCACTTTCACGAGCTCCTCCCAGCCGCCTCACCTGCGGCGCCCAGCTGGCCGGCCTCGGCACCACAGCGCGCGGCCAGCGTGGCCGTCACCATGGCGACCAGCTGCTGCGTCATGTCGGCCAACCGGCTCTCGTAGATGACGATGTCGTTGACGAGCGCGGCGCAGCGCGGGCAAACGAGGTCGCCGGGGGCGCGTGCGTCGGGCCAGCCGACCGGCGCCGCCGCCGCGCGCACCTTGGCCAGGTAGGTGACGTCTGGCCGCGCCGGGCACGCGGCGTGCACGTCCTGACACGTGGCCAGCTCCGGCCCAGCCAGACTGCGGTCACAGACCAGACAGCGCGGCGCGCGCGTGCGTGCCAGCGGCGGCGGCGATGGCCCCATGAGTGAGGCTGACTCCGAGCTGTCTATGGCTGCCATCTCAGATGGTGCTGCCAGGCAGCAGGAGTAGTGAAGGTGCCTGATAGGAGCAGAAGGGCTCAGCTTGGGCTTGCCTGGCAGCTGGGGCTCGACCTGAAGACACAAAATAGCATGATTACTGCCTGAATAACAAAAGCCATGGATGTTCAATATAAATTTCTACTGAAGTACTATGGCAGATTACAAGATAATACTGAGTGAAAACACTATCAATTTCTTAGTTTCATGGAGACTGCTTGTGTCATACAGCTTCAGCAAACACATATCCTAAAGTTGAGTGTTAGGGGCTAAAACCATTATTATTTACCAACTGGCCTGAAGCAAGAATTCTTATCTTGGTTGGGTTCAGGGGTACATGCAGGATTTTGCTAAGAAGGGGCAACTTTATTCCACAAAAGTAGTCCCAGTTGTCTATAGCAGCTTGCTGCAGCCAAAAATGCAAGACTGTGTCCAAAATCCCTACATTTAGCAGCCTAAAATAATCCAGGGATGGCATTTACTGTGACCTTACTCTCTATGTTTCTTGCTCATAAGGTCAGCAGTAAAACTAAAAAACAACAACAAATACTTCCATTATGTCCATTCTTTTATGTGAAGCCCCATACTTCACATTGCTTCCATCACAAAACAGCTGTATTTTCCCGAGAAAATCACTGCAACAAGATTGCCATCTTTGATCCAAAAACAGAATATAATATAATCTGATCTCATAATCCAGAAGCCCCAGGTTAAGGAAGATGCCAAAGGTCAGTTTGAGCTCACCCCCTCCTGATGTAAGATTAGGCTAGGCTTGTAACATCAAAGTTCAGCAAAGCTGGGATAAGGTTGGGGAACATGATGTTTCATGTCAGCCACATTTACAACATTATCTAGGTGGGCATGACAGGTATGTCAAGATAGACCTATTCAGTGAAACAACAAAAGTTAAGTAGCTTGAGAATCTCTTGCCACAGCACATGCATGTATATGTTGACAGAGATACGAGGCAGTTAGCCACTAGTGCATGTATCAAATACTCTGCAAAGCGTAAGGGAAGGTAGCGAGAAGGAAATGAGAACTCGGGGCACCCAACTGGCATTCCCAAACTAATGACTTGAAGCTGTCAAAAATGCATTTACAGTCGTCCGAATTGGACCCCTAAAGATCCGGCAGATGTTTATGCACTAAACGCTTATCTAATGCTTGTTCTGCACCTGCAAAATTCAAACGACAGGAAATTAGGACTGGAAATCACACCGTGCACCGCACCACACTCACCTCACTTTTCCAAAACACGACACGCCTCCGCACAAAGAAATACGGTACAAATTCAAGCACTCCCACCGCCTCTAAATGCGATATGGCAGCTTTCAAAAAGGATATATGACGTCAGGGAACAAAATAAGTTTCGCTTGCTCCATCGGACGATCTAACAATCATCCCATGCTAATATGCGGACGCGGTGTGCGCGGGGCAGCGGCTCGATCCATTTTGGTATGCTGTTAACCCTATCGTAGGCGCGCTAAGAAATAACCCACGAGGGGGTTCTGGATGCTGTGGTTTCCGGATCAAGTAACGTATCTCAGTCTACTGTGCTCGTGCGGTTCCAACCGGGTGGCCTTCTGGTTTCGACTTTTTTCTTATTTGGTGGAAGCCTCACTGCGCATCACTCTGAGCCTCGGTCCCGTTGGCTACGACTGCACGGGTGTGACAAAGCGAGTGAGGTGGTTTGAGAGAACTGCAAAGAGAAGGGTGATACTCGGGAGCTGTATTTCACCAGATGTTCCAGTTGGGCAAACGTAATTGTCAGTCTTCTAGAAAATCCTGAGCCAAGAAATGCTACAGACATTTACGTTTCAAAGTTAGCGAGACTTCCTACATGCCATTATCAATCTCTGACTAGGTCAAAATACATCGACCCACGCCCACGTATCTAATATTCTCCCCCATGAATGTCCTGGTAAACAAATCAGGCACATGGCATGAAAAAACGCACATATAAGGCGAATGTAAAACAGCATCCTCGCACCTTACATTATACAAAAAGCTGCAGCAAGCAAAGCAGCCACACGCCGAATCACTCCAACGGCAAAACAGATCTGGCCTACTGCACGGGGCAGCTGCAGAGCAAAGCCGGGGTCTCCGCCCACGGGCGCGACGGCACTCAGGGTACAGCCCGGTGGGGGCGTCAGTCGCCGTCGGGGGGCACGCGCTCGAACCGCAGCACGGAGAGGTGCTCGGGCCCGGCGCGCCGGCTCAGCACCAGCGTCATGCCGAAGCCGAGCCGGCGCATGACGCGCTCCAGGTCGTCCACGTCGTTCTCGCGGATGGCCACCAGGTAGAAGAGGCCGCCGGGCGCCAACAGGTGCGGCAGCTGCGGCAGCAGGCGGTCGGTGACCTCGCGGCCGCGCCGGCCGCCGGCCCAGCTGGCCGCCAGCTGGCCGCTGCTGCACACCTCCTCCGTGTCGGTGACCACGTACGGCGGGTTGAAGAGCAGCAGGTCAAGCCGGCCGGCCAGCCGCGGCTCCAGCGCCTGCCGCCAGGTCGCAGCGCACCGGCAGCACGGTGACGCCGCTGCGGCGCGCCGTGCGCCAGGTGGCGCGGCAGGCGTTCGCGCTCAGGTCGGAGCCGAAGCAGAGGCAGGTGGGCAGCGCGGCGGCCAGCGCCGTCACCACCACGCCCGAGCCGCAGCCCAGCTCGAGCGCCACCTGCGGTCCGCGCGCGCGCAGCCACGCCAGGTCGGCCTCCAGCGCGTCCAGCAGCAGGAAGCTGTCCTCGGCCGGTTCGTACACGCGGTCGTAGTCGGCGGCCGTCAGGTGCGACATGTCGGGTGTCTGCATGGTGAGGCTCACTGCGGTGCTGCTGCCGCCGGCGGCGGAGGGGCAGCCGCCTTCTGACGCGCAACCTGGCTGCGTATCCGGGCCAGTCGGTCCTGACAGATGGACGGATGGCTTATTGGACGTTCGGTTATCGTCATTGGGTGGTCAGAGTGAAGGGATTATGTGTTCTTCTCAGCTGTGTATTAACAATGTGCATCATCATCTATTATATAAAATTGTTCACCACAGTTCAGCAAGAGCCAAGCCATTTATGACTTGAAGGTTTGCCTGCATTCATTCATAATGCACACATGGGAAGTTAACAAGGTAGTCTAGTGAAGCAGATCAACTTGGAAACACATTTGACCTGGTTGTCAAATCCCAGTGCACTGACCTGGGAAGCGGTGCGCGCACTCCGCCGGGGTCCAGGCTCACCTGAACAGACTGCAGGGTGCTGTTGGTCACAGCCACGCGTCGCTTGACGCTGTGCAGACGCTTCACGTGCTCCTCGATGTCTACCGGAGATGGCGCCACAGACGCCAGCTTTGCAAAGTCTTCGGCGATCGACTCAAGCAGTGCGGCCAAAGCCTCCTGGCTGTCTCTGTGGGTGTAAATGGACATGCTTAGGACTGGTATGCTGATGGCTGCAAGGTGCTTGGCTGGCCAGTGCATACTCAACACAAGTACATATATCATAGGAATGGGGCAAATAACTGTTCTGGTATGCAGCCTTCTATGACATGCTAAAGTGGACTTACTGAAATGGACAACAAATACAAACTAAAATAATTGATCAATAATTAAGCTACAGGAATATCATTGACAACAATTTTAGTGCACTGTGAAACAAGCAATACAAAAAGATGGTCAACACTCTGAAAAGCTCACATCAAACTTACTGTGTTTCTTTAACTCCAGTGTCTATCCTATCAATTACTGGCTTCAGTGAGTTTAGGAATCCCTCTGATAGGGCATCAGTGGTGGGATTTTCACCAAAGTCAGTTCTGTCTTCCACAGAGGTGTTGGAGCTGGCAGTGTCATCCATGACACCCAGCACACATGCCCTGCCTTGGTTGTCTTCAGTTCCCCTGGCTCACTCTGAAATTATAGCTTAATATTACATTCAATAAGTTGCAGCACTAAAAATATGACAGATATGATGCCACAGGCCAGCAAAGTGAAAGCAAAAAGGTTGAGACCATGTGGTGGCCAAATCATGATTAGAGCTCATATGACCATTAACTTCTTCTGCAGGACAATTTTTGGCTTCTGCTTGCATTAGGATGTGGAAATGTGGACATATCATAGTGAACCAGCTGGCTACAAGGGTTTAAAACAAGACAACTAGCATATCATTGTCATTTCATTGATAACAGGTTATCAAAAAGCACAGGAATTCAGTCCCCCACATGATTGTAAAAGGTCAGACAACACTGAACAAAATGAAAGACTGGTAATCATAATGAAAAATATTTGAATCTATGGATCCTCCTTTTTGCAGTGACAAATCACCATAAACACTAGTGCAGGTGATAACAGGTCAAAAATCTTGCCAGGATCACAATGGGGAAAACTTAGGAATAATATGCATCTTGGAACAGCACTGTGAAATCCCATGCAAATTACTTACATGGTGCAGCCTGTAACAGTGCCCTGAATTAGCAAACAATCCCGTTTTTACACAGTAAGTATGCAAAAGCTGCTCAAAAAGCATCAACCTGCTACCCTTTAACCAACATAGGGCAGGACATAAGCCACCCCTGTACCTCATCACCACCCCTTCCATGTTTTAAAAGCCAGGTGACTGTCATGGGTAATGCTGATAAATATATTACAGCATTGACCTGAATCCATATCTGGTTCAAGATATTCCAAGTCATGCAACTTCTGTATATTGGACTGCTTTTGTTTCTCAGAAGTAGAATAAACCATCAACTGATTTATATCATCAAAAATGTTGATGGATCACCATTACATTAATGGATTACGCATTTTAATTTAGCACTTTGCAGTCCCTGGCAGCTTTACATAAGGTCTTATCATAACTTAAGCAGGGCACAGCTTACTAGCCTATTTCGGTTAGCACTCTGCCTGCCCCAAACACACTCTTAGCGTGTTTGCCACGATTTGCAAACTAGTTGATTTGCAAAGCAGGCGGGAATTTGGCATCCGCATTTGCAAAGCCATACCTATTAAAACACACTCTTTGCCCTGGGCCAACCATACAAATGCTCTATACATCTCTTCTTTTTAACATAATCCAGTATTTGTAGTACCGATATATGCCAGCACCTCCACACACACACCCACACCCACAATCGTTACCTAATGGCGATGACAAGCCAAACCCGCGCCGCTGTATTAGCGACTACGGCGCAGAGGTGCGCCGTGATGCAAAGCTTGTCAGTACATCAGCTGATCGTACCAGATGACGCAAAAATTTTATTAGGCTTACATCCAAATTCTACTAGATTGTACTAAGTGGTTTTCCCCGGAGCTTATTATTCGAAAAACACCCGAAAAATATTTTGCTCTGTTATGTTTCAAAGCTTTTTACAATGAGCCCATGCCCAAGCCAGCACTGGAGCATTCGTATTTTCGGAGCCACTCGTTCCGCGGCGCGCACGGTTTGCTCCACAGCTCAGTTCCTCGTACGTACGTCTCGTCGCGATGGAGGAAACACCGGACGAAACGAGCGGCTCTTTACTGTTGTAAATCGCTGCTGCGCACTCATCTTCCATGTGCCCTTGTTGATTCATTGATGTCGGGGTCGGAGAGGCAAGCGGGGGTGCAATTTACCAGTGGGCTTATCCGGAGGAAAATTTATTTGCTGGTGCCCCCCCCCCTCCCCATTTCATGTTGCAAACCTACGCCCCCGGTCGCAATGCTTCTCCCTAGGCCACTCAACGAAACCAGAAAGATATCAGAGTGATAGATGAGGGCAGCTAACTGGTCATAGACAGTTCATCAGCTGGTTGGTGATGGCGCAATCGCCGGGGTAGCTCGAGCGTGGCATACACGGCTGCTCCATCTTGTTGCAACCGATGCTATTGATCAGTCGCTCGTCTCCTCACTTTCAACCACAGTTGGTCTTAAAACAGCTGTAGATGGGTATCGCCGGGCACGGAATTGACTTCGGATGAACCGGAATGTCGGCATTTGACTCTCCACGGTCTTCCCTGCAAGGACAGCCCAACACATGAATCCTACCACCCCGGGTTCGGCATCCAGCTCAACAACAGAGTTGTGTGGGCCACAGTTTGTTCTATTCCGATTGTTCCACGGAACCACTTAAACTCAGCACGCCCAATGCCACTGAGACTTATTGTTGCTAAGTGCACTTATCTGTTGCTGGAAACTGCACGAGACTGCGAGCAGTTGTTAAGGTGTTGACGGAGCTTGAAAGCGTGATGGACGGCTGCTCAGCCTTACAATCCTTTCACTGTTGAAGCAAGCCTCGCTTGGTCTGCGATTGTCGCACGCAAGAGCAAAAATAAAATTCTCGCCAACATAATGTATGCTGTGAAGGTGTTTTTAGTGCATCAAGAGGTTCACATATAAGATATAATGCTGGCACCAACTGCAGTCGATTGAATGCCGAGCACGTGACGCGTTTCCCGAGGAATACAGTCTAATTTCTTTTGAACAGGACAAAAGACACCATTCGTAATTCTGACATGGGTCAAAGGCTAAATGTTTAGTTGATCAATTTGAAGAACGATTGGCAGACGCATGCAGAGGAATGGGTTGTTGAGCTATCCGCAGCTCAATAATGTAGTCCCTAATCACAATCCATACCCAAAGGACCAATTTCATTCCCAACCCGATCCTGTCTAATCCATTTGAGGACTACTCTGCTTCAGCATGGTACACTTCAACATATCACACTTTAGATCGGTTTCAAGGAAAAATAAAACCTGCATCGTACACTGGCAGCATTGGCTCCACTCAAATCGGCATGGTCTCTTCTACTCTTAGTCGGCGCTGATAAATCTGAATCCATCCACGTTTGAGAAAAAATCCAGCGCTTCCACATATAGCCTGCAATCGTCCCAATCAAGAACAGACCAATCTATGTATTGATCACAACCCTGCGTATTCCGCCATCCGTTGACAGCTCTTTGATGCAGATGGAGGAGCTCACGACAAAACGAATGGCTGCATGCAGCATGTTTTACAGGACGACCACACAGACGTGAGAATGGCATGACCAATCGAAAAAGGACGCTCAAAAAATGAGCGGGAAGACTCGATTAATTACGGAGAAGATTGCTTCGAGCTTCGAGCAGGTGAGGAGCCCCGGCGCGCATCGCTGCCCACGACTAACTGGCTACCGTGGCCGGCCGAGGAGTGTGGGGAGCACCAGGAAATCTACCTAAAAGTTCGACGGACGTCAGATATGTCCAAGGAGTCAGGGACGTGCCTCCGAGAGAAAGACCCCCAAGATTGACTCGCTTGACTACGCTTTAGCTAAAAAAATAATGAAATAGTTAAAAGGGGAGATCATATATATATATATATATATATATATATATATATATATATATATATATATTCTCATAATATAAGTATAGAATAAAACTTCAGCATGCTCTCCCAAATAATTTGGCATCTATCTTGCCGAGTTATCAGGTATATACCCCGCCCAGGGTCCGTCCGTCCGTCTGTCCGTCTGTCTGTTCCATTTTGTGTTGCGTCGTACCCGGGGCTGACCAACGGGTCGCTAAATGGTAAAATTTGGATGCGACGCGCGGACACACGAGGAGGGTTGCCACCGGAAACTCGCGAGACGCTGCGGTCCGAGTTTCGGGCGTGGCACTTTCCAGAAGTACCGATTTGACTCCATTGGTTTTGCACGGGTGACCTCAAAATATGACCCACGGCAAAGCTTACGAGCGGCTGTTCGAAGCCGGGGCCATATGTCGGTAACCAGGGGTCAGAGCGACATGAAATTCCACTCATCCCGGCGTGCAGTTGAGCGGGGAATCGCCTTGTGTAATGTTTGCGATTGCATGTGCTGCGTGCCAGGTATAGAAAAGCGGTGATTTTTCCTTTTAAAAAATTGTCTTCGTTTTGTGCCACGATTCGGCAGCCGCAGCGGATTGAGGTGCGAGTGCAATTTCAAAGCGTTGATCAGCGTGTGAGCAGTGCGAGTTTGTGTGACGCACGACAGCCGCGCCAGCAACTGTTGGGCGCGCCGGGAATGTCTTTATTTAGAAAAGCAGCCCCCAATGTAACAGGTTGGCGTCGAAGTTGGTAACAAAGTTGTGTGGAAATTTACATAATCGCATGCACTTGTTCATTGCTTACATTTTTGCTTGCAAGCTTTGCATTGCTTTTTTGTTTTGCATTGTTTTTGCTTGCTTGCATGCTTGCACTTCGGCGAGCGGCCCACCCGTCTCGTCGGTTTGTACAACCATACCATATCCTCGACTTGATAGGCATACTGACGAGCGCCCTGCGCTTGCCTTTCTCGTCGTTTCCGGGCCTCACGCACGATATTATCTTGCACTCGACGCTGAGCTTGACGGAGGGATTCCATCATCTCTTGCACGTACTCCGTCTTGTCACGAGCCGATTGTCCATCACCATGCACAATCTGAACGGGTAGTCTGGCTTGCCGTCCATAGAACAGGAAGAATGACGGTTCTCTTGTGGTTTCTCTCTCGTTGATGCTTGTGCGATAAGCGAACATAACGAACGGTAGGTGTCTATCCCAGTCTCGCTGATCTTCACGGACATACATCGACAGTATGGCGCACAGGGTGAGGTTGAATCTTTCAGGTGATCCGTTGTCTTATGCATGGTACGGAGTTGTTCGAGTCTTCTTTATGTTCAGCCTCCTGCAGATCTCCTGAATTACCGTCGCTTCAAAATTTCTTCCATAATCCGAGTGGATCACCTCGGGACATCCGTGGCGACATACAAGCTCTTCCACAAAGACCTCGGCCACGGTGACAGCTGTCTGGTCAGGAAGTGCGAAAGCTTCCGTCCACTTCGAAAACCCGCACGTCACAACCAGTACGTAGCGGTTCCCTCCGTTTGTTCTGGAAAAGGACCCGTCATACCCATTGCAACCCACTGTCACTGACGGTCCGGCACAGGCATCTCCCCAAAAAGGCTTTGCCTGGAGCAGGGAGAGTTTTTTCTTCGCGCAAAATTTGCGTGTTTGGACCCATGCGCTGACATCCTGAAACGATGAGCTCCAATACAATCTAGCTCTGATTTTTTTCTAGCGTCTTCGTCACCCCAAGATGACCTGCATAAGAATCGTGGTGACACCTCGCGAGCACAACTTCCACTGGTGCCTTCGGCACAACCACCTGCCGGTGCTCAGCGCCGTTCGGGACGAACACACGGATCAGCGGTCCCTGGTCATCTAGCCACAATCTGTCCTGTTGAGACATGTAGTGCTTCACCACTGGTGATGCAGACGCAGGACATGGACGCCTCCTTCTAATCAGTTTAATGACCTCCGCCAGGCCCGGTCTTCTTGTTGAGCAAATCTTACTTCAAAGTCACTATCAAGCGTCGTCGCCCGCACCTCTATCGCGCATTGTCCTTGGCCGTCCTCTACAGGGCCGCGGGACGGGGCATCTGCATGCGGAAGGCTGGATCCTAGCCGGTACTGGAGCTCATAGTCCAGCGCCTCCAACTCCAGAATCCACTGCGCCAGCTTGCCCTGGGACCTTTGCTCTGTCGGATATGAACCAAAGGATTGTGGTCAGTCCGCAGTATGAAGTGCTGCCCATGCAGATGTACCCGGAACCGACGAATAGCCCAAACGAGAGCGAGACACTCCCGCTCGGTTGCAGAGTATCTCCTCTCTGGCCTTAGTCAGACTGCGACTAACATATGCCACAACACGCTCCCTACCATTTTCCTCTTGAGTCAGCACCGCTCCCAGGCCTACAGCGCTGTCAACATGAACGGCTCCCGGAAGTTCGGGTAGCACAACACCGGAGCAGAGATGAGCTATTCTTTCATCATGGCAAAAGCCGCAGCGCACTCTTCTGTGCATCTGAAGCAACAGGCACCCTCTAGAAGTCGATGCAGAGGTCTTGCCAGGTGGGCAAACCGTGGAATAAAGCGTCGGAAGTACGAGGCTAATCCCAGGAACTCACGCACCCCCGTAATAGACGATGGGGTTGGAAAGTGCTGCACTGCAAACACTTTTGAAGGATCAGGGGACACACCTTTCCCACTGACTACATGCCCGAGGAACTGAACCTGCTTTCGAAACAACCTACGCTTCCCCGGATTCAGCGTGAGATTTGCTGCTCGCAACGCTTCTAA